CGGACGTAGAGCCATCTGGTGCGTGCCAGGGACAGGAGGAGGACGCTGACGTGAACAACGACAACTAGTGCGAGCAGCACAAACAGGCGACGCAGGACGAGACTCAGGCTCACAACGCTCCGTAAGACCTCCAGTCGGAAAAGTGTAAGGAGAAGGAGGAGGCAGTGGGGAGGCGGGCTGTAACTGTGATTGCGACTGGACAGGGTGGACACTCTAAGGAAGGAGCAGGACCAGTAGAAGGCGGAAGACTAAGAACCTGCTCAAGGAGCGGAACGAAGTACGGCCGCGGCCGAGCAGCGCCTCCAGAACTATTAGGGACAGCACCAGCACCCCTCGCGTCAGCTCCAACTCCAGCAGCACCACCAGCTCGAGTAGCACCTCCAGCAGCTCGAGCAGCACCAACTCCAGCACCCCCAGGAGCACCGGCTCCAGCAGCACCTCCAGCGCCAGCACCTCCAGCAGCACCAGCTCCAGCAGGACCACCAGAAGGCCCAGCAACTCGAGGAGCACCATCTCCAGTGGCTTGAGCAGCACCCGCTCCAGTAGCATCGCCAGCTCCAGCCCCAGTAGCACCACCAGGCCCAGCAGCTCCAGTACCTCCAGGACTAGCACCTCCGAAATGGGCGGCTCTAGAACCCCCAGCAGCTCCAACAGCAGCAGGACCTCCAGCGCCCGTAGCACCACCAGCTCTAGCAGCACGGCTCCAGCGCCGAGCAAACCACTCGCGCAGCTGCTGTGGAGAGAGTGGCTCCCGCCGGGACAAAGCACCCGAATGACCTCCAGGCTCAGCACCTCTAGACTCCATACGCGCAGGCTCAGCACCCTCAGGCTCCACACCCCCAGACTCAGCAACTGCAGGCTCAGCACCCCAAGACTAAGCACCCCCAGGCTCAGCACCCCCAGACTCAGCACCCCCAGGCTCCGCACGCTCAGACTCAGCCCCCCCAGACCCGGCACCTGCAGGCTCAGCACCCCTAGCAGCACTAGAGTCAACGGCTACCTCGACAGGCTTGACTGCGTCTACCTGGGACACACATGAGGGGGCAGGACCCTGAGGGGGGAGGGGGTCTACCGGGGGAGGACCTGGCGCGAGGAAGAGCGGCGGGGGGGGGGAGGAGGTCAGTGCGGTAGGGGAAGAGACGGTAGTAAGGAACCGACTCGTCAAACGTGACGTCCTAAGAGGACAGAACACGGCGCGAGGTGGGGCGGTAAAACTGCCAAATAGGCGCGTCCGAGGGAAGCCAAGGAAGATGCAGGGAACAACACGGGAGGACAGCTTGTCTACAGACAAGTCGCGGACGAAAGCTCTAGATCCCTTGACACAAAACGCAGACGCATCGCCAACCTTCCCGTCCACCGTAGAGTAGGTGTGGTCTCCAGCATGGAGACCCGGGGCTTGAGGTTGAGCTGATGCGCCGCGTACTGAACCGCGAACGGCCACAGAAAATGGGGAGTAGCCGCATGGATCATGGATGTATGAGCAACATCCATGACCATGCCAATGCGGCCCTCAGCAATCCCATTTTGCTGCAGAGATGCCGGAAGTGTGAACGTCTGGCGGATGCCCTCCGCACGACAGAAGGCTCGCAGAAGGTCGGAGGAAAACTCTCCACCTCTGTCGGAGTGTAGACACAAAACAGGAAGGTCCAAGCCAAAATTCTCGCTGAGCTTACGACGGGCAGCGCGGATCCAGTCAATCAGCACCTCAGTGACCTCACCCTTGCAGCGCAAGGGGAAGACGGTGGTGTAACGTGACTAGTCGTCAACGACCAGCAGAAAGTAGCGCTCGTGACCCTGTCGACGGACGCGGGCGGGGCCCAACACGTCCATCGGAGGGAACTCAGAGGAGTGAGGAGCGGCGCGCTGCCGCCCCTTGATGCAAGGAACGCAGATAGGGGCAGGCCCCGGGGGAAGGGGGGGGAGAGACCAGGGAAGACCAGTGACAAGGACACGGGAGGCCATGCCTCGGAGACGAGGCAGGGACGGGTGACCAAGGCGGTGGTGCTAGAGGAGAGTCTGGTGAGACAGGAGGCGTCACGAGCAGGGGGCAGACTCAGGACCAGACCGAGATGCTACAGCAAACACCTGACCCGACGTGGCTACCAGACCAGACTCAGCAATCAGAGGAGACACTGTAGTCAGTGTGTACAGGCTCGACCCAGGCTGACAGGTGAACATGGCCAGGTACCGGCTTGTCTGAGTACACGAACAGTGAGTCACCCGCTGACCTCCAGGAGTGAACTGGTCAACCCACGCATCCTGAAGGTCAACTCCACTCACCAAGTTCGTGGAGAACGAGGGGAGGTAGAGGCTAGACAGAGAGCCAGACGGGACCGCCGGACATGGCAGAACTGTGGAGGAGTGTGCAAGGACCGGACCCCCAGAGGGGTCAGCCAGAGAGACTGCCACTCGTCGACTGAGCGGCAAGAGTGTGGTGCAGTCGCAAAAGATGGAGGGGAAGCACCCGAGTCAAGGGTGAAAGTGTGCAAGGCTGCAGCAGGCGAAGTACCAGAGAGAGCAGACTCACCAGCACCTGGAGTAGTGGACTCACTAGCGCCTAGAGCAACAGCCTCACCGGCACCTGGAGCAGGAGACGCACCAGCACCTAGAGCAGCAGCCTCACCAGTACCTAGAGCAGTAGACTCTATACCTGGGTCAGGCGGCACACACAGGTAACAGGCAGCCTCAGCACTAGTAGGCAATGCATACATGGCAGTGAGAATAGCATCATAGTCAAGTGCAAAGATATCCACCCTCTCCCTAAGCAGCTCCACCAGCTGGGGAGCTTAGCCGCGTCGCTAAACTCGATACGCCAGGCGTCGCTCAGACAGGCGAAGCAGCGGGACTGTGTGTGACCAATCGTCTCGCAAGTCTGACCAGCCCGATCACTTGTGCAAATGACGTACGGGCAACGAGCAGTTCTCCGAGACCCTCTACTCTGAGTGTACCACTCACGAAGCTGCTGGGGCGTAAGGGTCTCGCGCGGACGCCGCTGCAGCTGCATCTGGCCACTGCCAAAAGCTCCCGGCTGACCAGCTCCAGGGCGACTGCCACTACGACCGCCGCCACAACCCCAACTAGCGTACCTCTCACGAAGCTGCTGGGGCGTGAGGGACGCGCGCGGACGTCGCTGGAGCTGCATCTCGCCACCGCCAGTAGCAGCAGTAGCACCTAGGGCAGCAGCACCTAGGGCTCCTCTTTTTTTGTTTAATATTTATTAATTTGTTTATTTTAGGGTTTGGCAGGGCGCACTGGGCGCTGCAGAGGCGGCTCGCGGGCTGCAAGGGTGGCTCGCGGGCTGCAGGGGTGGCTCGCGGGCTGCAGGGGTAGTGCGCTGGCTGGAAGAGGCAGGCGCGCTGGCTGCAGGGGTGGTTCGCGGGCTGCAGAGGAGGCTCGCGCGCTGCAGACGAGTGGCGCGCGGACTACAAGGGTCTGCACGCGGGCGGCTTGCACGGGGCGGCGCGTCGCGAGGTGGGCAGGGGCGGCGCGGAGGCAGGCAGGGCGGACGGGCGTCGCGGCGGGCTGGGGCAGCCCGCTGTGGCGACGCGACAAGCTTCAAGGGCGTGCGACGCGACGGGCTGCAGGGGCATGCAACGAGACAGGCTGTAGGGGCGCACGGCGAAGCGGGCAGCAAAGGCGCGCGATGCGATGGGCAACAGGGGCGCTTACCAGGGGCGGGTGCAGGGCAGGGCCGGGATGGGTGGTTAGGTCAGGGCCGCACCGGGTCGGCTGTAGGGCAGGGCCGCGACGAGGCGGCGGCAGAGCAGGGCTGCGACGGGGCGGCAGCAGGGCAGGGCCACGACGGGGCGGCGTCAGAGCAGGGCCGCAACGAGCAGCTGAGGGCAGGGCCGCGACGGGTGGCGGCAGGGCAGGGCCGCGACGGGCGGCGAGGTCAGGGCCGCGACGGGCGGCGAGGGCAGGGCCGCGACGGGCCGTTAGGGCAGGGCCGCGACGGGTCGAAAGGGCAGGGCCGCTACGGGCCGAGAGGGCAGGGCCGCTACGGGCGGCAGTAGGGCAGGGCGCGCGACGGCGCCGGTGAGGGAGGCGCTAGGCGCGCTTTGGGCAGGGCAGGAAAAAAACGATCGTGGTGGGCCCTTTAAAAAAAACGTTCCCACTAGGGAACCTGCTATGAAACCATGTGAAAGACAGAACGAGGAATTACTAGAAACAGGGCAGTACAAGGTTTGTATAGGCAAAACCTAACAATACTGTACCCCACAAGGAGTGCCCCACTACAGCCTACAACATAGTTCAGACATGGACTTCTAAGATGCCATCTCTGCGTCCATGGCTGACTGCCACTGAGAGGAGTAGGGGCCCTCAATGGCCTCTGCGTAAGACTGCGGGGTTGGGATGTCTGGTGCATCCGGGTCTCCCTCATGTGCAATCAGCATGGACACGAGATGAGGTACAGCGGCTGCAAAGCACTCAAAGTCCTCATGCCTATCCTCAAGGACGTCCGTGCCAAGAGCACACTCACCCCCGACGGACGGAGGACAAACAGACTCCGATTCAGCAACAAGAATAGTGGCGTGGTCTAGACGACATGTCAAAACACTATCGTAGCTGGTAACCGGGCTTAAGGAGGGCCTAGGCTTAGTAGCCTAGGCCAAGCTATTGTTAAGGTCAAGGCCAAGGGAGTGTCAAGAGAAATTGACCAAACAAGTTAGCTTCACTAAAGCAAAGCATACAAGATATAGTCGAGAAACACAAACAAGAGGTGCACCACCAACAGCAAAGAACATTAACTACGGTAACTGCAGCAAGCAGGATATATCTTAAATATAACTTTGACACACCCCCTTAGCCTGCTTGTAGTAGGAACTAGAGTAGTCAACACCCCCTGAAGGGGTATAGCTGGTGCAGTGGGAGACGGCAGAGGGGTACGTGAGGGGAGGTGGCGAGAGGAAGAGAGGAGAGGAGAGGAGATGAGAACACAGGAGGAGGTGAGTGAGGGATGAGGAGAGGAGGTGGGGGGGTGGCCGCGGCGTCCCCTCTTACTAACCCCCTTTTACGAAAGGGGGGTTGAGTGGGGGATGAGGAGAGGAGGTGGGGGGGTGGCCGCAGCGTCCCCTCTTACTAACCCCCACATCCCCACCCCCAATCAACCACCCTCCTTCAACCTCACCCCCCATTTCGTCCGCCCCCTGGAACCGCACCCCCTCCCTCCCTTCCTTCCTCCACACCCCTGCCCCACTCACAGTTGTCTCTGCCCTGTCCTTCACACGGCAGCCAGCCCTCCCACCCCCCCGTCCCTGCCACCTACCCCCCATAGTAGCAGCCGCGGGAGGGGAGAGGCAGGGCAGAGGGTGGTGCTCTGCTGGCGGGGTGCTCTGCTGGCGGGGTTCTCTGCTGGCGGGGTTCTTTGCTAGCGGGGTTCTCTGCTGGCGGGGTTCTCTGCTGGCGGGGTTCTCTGCTGGCGGGGTTCTCTGCTGGCGGGGTTCTCTGCTGGCGGGGTTCTCTGCTGGCGGGGTTCTCTGCTGGCGGGGTTCTCTGCTGGCGGGATTCTCTGCTGGCAGGGTGCTCTGCTGGCGGGGTTCTCTGCTGGCGGGGTTCTCTGCTGGCGGGGTTCTCTGCTGGCGGGGTTCTCTGCTGGCGGGGTTCTCTGCTGGCGGGGTTCTCTGCTGGCGGGGTTCTCTGCTGGCGGGGTTCTCTGCTGGCAGGGTTCTCTGCTGGCGGGGTTCTCTGCTGGTGGGGTTCTCTGCTGGCGGGGTTCTCTGCTGGGGGGGGTCTCTGCTGGCGGGGTTCTCTGCTGGCGGGGTTCTCTGCTGGCGGGGTTCTCTGCTGGCAGGGTTCTCTGCTGGCAGGGTTCTCTGCTGGCGGGGTTCTCTGCTGGCGGGAATCTCTGCTGGCGGGGTTCTCTGCTGGCGGGGTTCTCTGCTGGCGGGGTGGCCCTGGAGCTGGTGCTGGTGCTGGCGGCTGGCCCTGGAGCTGGTGCTGGTGCTAGCGGCTGGCCTTGGAGCTGGTGCTGGTGCTGGCGGCTGGCCCTGGAGCTGGTGCTGGTGCTGGCAGCTGGCCCTGGAGCTGGTGCTGGTGCTGGCGGCTGGCCCTGGAGCTGGTGCTGGTGTTGCTGGCTGGCCCTGGAGCTGGTGCTGGTGCTGGCGGCTGGCCCTGGAGCTGGTGCTGGTGCTGGCGGCTGGCCCTGGAGCTGGTGCTGGTGCTGGCAGCTGGCCCTGGAGCTGGTGCTGGTGCTGGCGGCTGGCCTTGGAGCTGGTGCTGGTGCTGCTGTGGGGGGGAGGTTCAAGGGGTGTGGGTGGATGTTCCAGCTGCAGCAACTGCCACCCACACCCCCTAAACCTCCCCCCCACAGCAGCAACAGCGGCAGAGAGAGAGAGAGAGAGGAGGAGGCGTGGCAACAATTGCTGCAGTTTGATCACCCCCTCCATCTCACTCCCCCCCCAACAGCTGCAGTCGTGGTAGTGAAGGCGATGGGGAGGGGGGGAAGGGAAGACGGATGCGCGGTAGGTGTTGGCGGCAGTTCTGGCGCTTGCGGTGGCGTTCACTGCTGACAGCCGCCCACCACCCCTATCCCCCACGCCTCCCCCACCCCCCCCACATGAGCCGCCAACCCCGCCACTCCCACAACTCCCGCCATTCCCGCCGCCGCCGCCCCCACTGTCCTCCACACCCACCACCGCCCAACACGGCATAGGCAGGCGTGGTAGAGGGGGAAGGCGCGACGAGGGAGGGACGGGGAGGGGCAGGGATACTGCGGGTACGGGACGAAACAACAGTTGCTGACGCGGCAGATGCAGGCGGGGCAGGGACGGGTCGTGCAGATGCGGGTGGCGTACGGGAGATGGGCGGGGTGCGAGCTGGCTGGCGCGTTGGTTGGGCCGCCAATCCCTTCCCGTCCTCCCTCTCCCACCCACAGCGACCGCCGCTGCACACGCGAACAGTTGCAACGGGGGGGGAGACGGGCAAGCGGCCGGGTATAGGTGGGGCATCGGGTTCCAAGTGGGGCGGCAGGAACGGGATGAAACGGTAGTAGCTGGTGCGGCAGATGCAAGCGGGGAAGGAACGAGTCGCGCGGGTGCGGGTGGCGGGTCGCAGGCGGGCTTGCTGACGCTCTCGTTGGCGGGTCCGCCGGCAGGCCCTGTGACGAGCCCGTCGGCGGGTCCGTCGGCGGGCTTGCTGAAGGCGGGTTCGCGGGTCCGCTGGCTCGCTCGCTGAAGGCGGGTCTGCGGATCCGCTGTCTCTCTTGCTCGCGGGTCCGCATGTGAACTGGGGGGGGGCGTAACGGTGGGGCGCGACGAGCGCGCTCGCGCAGCTCGTCGTCGCTAGCGCAGCAGCAGCAGGACCTCGAGCCGGTGGGGCGACGGGCGAGTCACGGGCCAGCGATGCACGTAACGGGCTCTGCAACGACCTTATCGATGGGACGCGTCATACTGTATCGACAGCTGGTGGTGGGCCCATTCACCTAGGAGTAGGATCTTAGTAGCTTGATACCATGTCAAAACACTATCGTAGCTGGTAACTGGGTTTACGGAGGGCCTAGGCTTGGTAGCCTAGGCCAAGCTATTGTCGAGGTCAAGGCCAAGGGAGTGTTAAGAGAAATTGACCAAACAAGTTAGCTTCACTAAAGCAAAGCATACAAGATATAGTCGAGAAACAGAAACAAGAGGTGCACCACCAACAGTAAAGAACAATAACCACAGTAACTACAGCAAGCAGGATCTATCTTAAATATAACTTTGACACAACAGGCGGCAGCAAAGTCGACAAGCTCAGCATCAAGAGCAGACGCAGCACTAGACGCAAACGAAGGGTCGGTGACAACAGTAGCTAGCAGACGAGCGATAGTAGGGCTGGCAGCACGAAGTGAGTCAGACTCCGGGTCCGGACTGTAAGTAAGAAAGGACGCAGGAGGAGACGGCAGAGGGATACGTAGTGGAATAGAGGAAGGACGAAGTGCCATCTGGTGCGTGCCGGGGATAGGAGGAGGACACGGACTCGGTACACGACCAGAGCGAGCAGCGCGTACAGGCGACGCAGGACGAGACGCATGCTCACGACGCTCCGCAAGACCTCCGGTCGGCCCAGTGTAAGGAGAAGGACCAGGCAGTGGGGAGGCTGGTTGTAACTGCGGCTGCGAATGGTCAGGCAGCGGATACAGTAAGGGAGGAGTAGGACCAGAAGAAGGCGGGAGACCAAGAACCTACTGAAGGAGTGGAACGAAGTACGGCCTCGGTCGCGCAGCACCTCTAGAACCAGCAGAGATAGCACCAGTACCCCCAGCTCCAGGGTCTCCAACTCCAACTCTTGCAACACCACCAGCTCCAGCACCTCCAGCAGCTCCAGCTCCAGCAGCTCCCGCAGCAGTAACAACCTTAGCGCCTCCAGCTAGCCCCAGCAGCTCCAGTACCTCCAGTACGAGCACCTCCGGGACCAGCACCTCCAGCATCTCCAGCAGCTACAGCACCAGCAGTACCTCCAGCGCCAATAGCACCTCCAGTGGTAGGCCCCCAAGCTCCAGCAGCACGACTCCAGCGACGAGCAAACCACTCGCGCAGCTGAGGTGGAGAGAGTGGCTCCCGCCATGACAAGATACCCGTAGGACCTCCACACGAAGAAGTACCTCCAAGCTCAGCACCCCTAGACTCCGCATGCTCAGGCTCAGCACCCCCAGGCTCTGCACCCTCAGACTCAGCACCCCCAGGCTCAGCACCCCCAGGCTCTGCGCGCGCAAGCTCAGCACCCCTAGGCCCCGCACCCTCAGGCTCAGCACCCCTAGCAGTACCAGAGTCGACAGCTACCTCGACATGGTCTACCTGGGACACACATGAGGGGGCAGCACCCTGAGGGGGAAGGGGGTCTACCGGAGGAGGACATGGTGCTAGGAAGAGCGGCGGGAGGGGGAGAGGGGCAGTGCGGTAGGGGAAGAGACGGTAGTAAGGAACCGACTCGTCAAACGTGACGTCCTAAGAGGATAGAACACGACGCGAGGTGGGGTGGTAAAACTGCCAACCAGGCGCGTCAGGGGGGAAGCCAAAGAAGACGCAGGGAATGGCACGGGAGGACAGCTTGTCCACGGAAGAATCGCGGACAAAAGCTGAAGATCCCCAGACACGGAACGCAGACACATCGCCAACCTTCCCCGTCCACTGCAGAGTAGATATGGTCTCCAGCATGGAGACACGTGGCAGGAGGTTGAGCTGATGTGCAGCGTACTGAACTACGAATGGCCACAGAAAATGGGGAGTAGCCACATGGATCATGGACGTATGAGCAACGTCCATGACCATGCCAATGCGGCGCTCAGCAATCCCATTTTGTTGTGGGGAGGCCGGAAGCGTGAACGTCTGGCGGATGCCCTCCGCAAGATAGAAGGCTTGCAGAAGGTCGGAGGAAAACTCTCCACCTCTATCAGAGTGCAGACACAGAACAGGAAGGTCCGAGTCAAAACTCTCGCTGAGCTAGCGACGGGCAGCGCGGATCCAGATGATCAGCACCTCAGTGACCTCACCCTTGCGGCACAAGGGGAAGGCTGTGGTGTAACGCGAGTAGTCGTCAACGACCAGCAGAAATTAACGTTCGTGACCCTGTCCACGGACGCGGGCTGGGCCCCACACGTCCATATGGAGAATCTGTAGGGGAGCCTCCGTTGGAGGGAACTCGGAGGAGTGAGGAGCAGCGCGCTGCCATCCTTCGACGCAAGGAACGCAGGTAGGGGCAGGCCCCGGGGGGAGGGGAGGGAGAGAACGGGGGAGACCAGTGACAAGGACACGGGAGGCCATACCTCGGAGTTGAGGCTGGGAGGGGTGACCAAGGCGGTGGTGTCAAAGGAGAGTTTGGTGTGACAAGAGACGACACGAGCAGGGGGCAGACTCCGGACCAGACCTGGACGCGGCAGCAAACACCTGACCAGACGCAGCTACCTGACCAGACTCAGCAACCGGAGGAGACACTATAGTCAGTGTGTACAGGCTCGACCCAGGCCGACGGGTGAACGTGGCCAGGTGGCGGCCCGTCCGAGCACACGAACAGTGGGTCACCCGCTGACCTCCAGGAGTGAACTAGTCAACCCACACATCCTGGAGGTCAGCTCCACTCACCAAGTTCGTAGAGAACGAGGGGAGGTGAAGACCCGACAATGAGCCAGACGGGACCGCCGGAACGGTAGAACCGTAGAGGAGTGTGCAAGGACTGGGCCCCAAGAGGGTACCGCCAGGGAGACAGCAACCGGTTGACTGAGCGGCGTAAGTGTGGTGCTGTTGCGAAAGAAGGAGCGGGAAGCACCATAGTCAAGCGTGAAGGTGTGCAAGGTCTCAGCAGGGCAGTACCTGAGAGAGCAGACTCACTAGTACCTGGAGCAGCAGACTCACTAGCACCTAGAGCAGCAGCCTCTATACCAGGGTCAGGCAGCACACACAGGTAACAGTCACCCTCAGCACTAACAGTCACAGCATACATGGTAGCAAGAATAGCATCGTAGTCAAGATCAAAGATTGCAACACCATACTTAAGCATATCAGCCTAGCGAGGGAGCTCAGTGGCATCAGGAAACAGTGCACGCCAGGCGTCAGATAGGCAATCGAAACAGCGTTGCGTTGCGTGTGGCAGCCCGCACGTATCCCCACGGTGCTCGCCGGTGCAGAGAACGTAAGCGAAGGGACCAGCACCCCAAGACCTCCCATGCCCTGCGTACCACTCACGAAGCTGCTGGGGCGACGAGGCCTCACAGGAACGTGACTACTGCTGTCGCTAGCTACCGCCAAAGCCTCCACGCTACGCGGCTCCACCCCGACCAGCACTACCGCCGCCGCCACCCCCACTGCCGCTGCCGCTGCCGCCCCCACCTCCACCGCCGCCACGGACGCCCCCACTCCCGCCCCCACCCCCACCTCCACCCCCACCCCCTCCGCCTCCTCCACCGCCACCACCGCTGCCCCCGCCGTCCCCTCCACCACCCTTGCCCCCCTTGCCCTTACCGCTGCGGCGCCTCCCACTAGGAGCAGGCGCAGCCCTGACCTCCTCAATGCCAACGAGTTCGACAGCAGGAGCAGAAGCAACAGAGGGCAAAAGGGGAACGGGGGAACACCCCTCAAAGAAAGGGGCGCGAGGGTCGCCGCGAGAAGCTCCTACAGCAACTATGCTAGTCTCACATGCAGTGAGGCGCTCCTCGAGTAGGTCGACAGTGAGCTTGGTGTGGCAAAGGGAGAGAAAGTGGTCCCTGACTGAGCGAAGAGAGTCAGGGAGACAGGTGACGAGGTAGAAGAGGGTGATGTACATGGGGGGGGGGGAGGGTTTTGGCGCGAAACTCGGAAGGAAGCGCAGTAGTGTAGCGGGTGTGACTAGTGCGGAGGTGAGTGATGAGGTCAGCGACTTTGGCAAAGGTGGTCAGGTCAGGGAACAAGTACGGCAGCATGAGGCGGCTGAGGGCAGCAGTGCCAGGGGAGGAGTAGCGTGCGACGACAACATCATACAAAGACTTAGCAGTCTTGTACTAGCCAAAGTGCGCGCGCTCAGCAGACGGCAGGTGACTACGAACAGCAAGGCGAGCAACAGCGTCACGAGTAGTCCACTGCGAGCGAACCGTACTGTTAGCATCGGAAGCAGGTACAAGAGAGGCGCCGGACGTGTGATCGAAAAGCGAGACCCCGTCCCTACAGTTGCATTGAAGATAGAGCTGCAGGTCATCTACCCAAACTTTGAAATCGACCGCACAAACCTTAGCATCGAAGGTAAGAACAGTAGGGCTAGCCATGGCGGCAGTAGCAGCAGTAGTAGCAGTAGGGCAGGGTGGCGCGATTCGGCAGGGCGGCGCGGCTCGACAGAGCGGTGCGGCTCAGCTGGGCAGTGCGGCTCGGCTGGGCGGCGTGGCGCGGCAGGCAGGCGGTTGCAGCGGCGCGCTTGGCAGGGCGGGCGCTTACCAGGGGCGGGTGCAGTGCAGGGCCGCGACTGGCGGTTAGGGCGGGGCTGCGACGAGGCGGCAGAGCAGGGCCGCGACGGGGCGGCAGCAGGGTAGGGCCGCGACAGGGCGGCTGCAGGACAGGGCCGTGACAAGGCGGTAGCAGGGTAGGGCCGCGACAGGGCGGCTGGAGGGCAGGGCCACGACGGGGCGGAGGTAGAGCAGGGCCGCGACGGGGCGGCGGTAGAGCAGGGCCGCGACGAGCGGCTGAAGGCAAGGCCACAACGGGTGGCGGCAAGGTAGGGCCGTCATGGGCGGCTGGGTCAGGCCGCGACGGGCGGCTGGGTCAGGCCACGACTTGCGGCGACAGGGCAGGGCCGTGACGGGCCGGGAGGGCAGGGCCGCTACGGGCTGCAGTAGGGCAGGGCGCGTGACGGTGCAAGTGAGGCAGGCACGAGGCGCGCTTCGGGCAGGGTAGGAAAAAAAATATATCGTGGTGGGCCCTAAAAGAAAACGTTCCCACTAGGGAACCTGCTCTTAAACCATGTCAGAAAGTAGAAATCAAGAATGACTAGAATGACAGCAGTACAGGGTTTGTATATGCAAAACCTAATTGGACTGTACCCCACTACAGCCTACAGCATATAAATGCTTAGTTATGACATCGTTATCATATCCATTTAATCCTGAGGTTATTTCAACAATCACCGTGATGTAAACTCTGCTTGAAGTAAGCAGATTACATCGATTTGTGTCATATTTGTATTGGATGTTTATGCCACAACGAGAGTTAGGGAAGCTGTTGTAATACACATTCTAGATTAGTCGACAGACCAACACTCTTTGACAGCGTAATGAGCCCAATTATGGTGGGTCAATCCAAAAAGCCAACAGCGCACCCGCCCTCCCACAAAGATTCCTGTCCCCTCACACCTTGTGCGATCCCCGTCCCATTTGCATCAAGCCCAGCTTCCCTGCCGCTCGCACGCTACGAATCGTGAGATCGCGCCACTCGGTGACTTCGCACCCCCCGGCGCCGCAACGGTCGCACCGGCATGCACGCGACGCGCTCATGGGACGCGCACGAGCAGGCGGAAGGCCCCTCGCCGCTCAAGATGCTCCGCGGCTACCTTCTCCGCTTGCGCCACGCCGGCCCGCTGCCCGCGCGCCTTGACCCCTACCGGCGGGGGTGTGCGCCGGGGGGGGTGGCGGGCGGAATGTGGGGGACGGTGAGGGGAGAGGGAGGCGGAGGGGCCGGGGAAGACGGGGGAGGGGGGGAGGCGTGGGGAGAGGACGTCGTGGGGCTGTTTCGGCAGCTGCATGAGGAACATGCGAGGAACATTCCTCTGGACGTGCTCTCGTGAGATGCCTTCCTTTTCAGCAAGTCGTTCCCTTCCACCACCGTCAACACCAACCCGCTCCACCCACCTCACCCCCGGCCCTCGCCCGCATACCCGTTTCTCGCGCATCGCCAATGCCGTCTGCCCTCCACCCCGACCCCCGCCGCCTGCAGCGTGTTGCGCGGATGGCTGCTGTGTGTTCTCACCCACGCTCAAAGTATGGCGCTTGTGTCTGCTGTGTGGCGCTTGTGTCTGCTGTGTGGCGCTTGTGTCTGCTGTGTGGCGCTTGTGTCTGCTGTGTGGCGCTTGTGTCTGCTGTGTGGCGCTTGTGTCTGCTATGTGGCGCTTGTGTCTGCTGTGTGGCGCTTGTGTCTGCTATGTGGCGCTTGTGTCTGCTGTGTGGCGCTTGTGTCTGCTGTGTGGCGCTTGTGTCTGCTATGTGGCGCTTGTGTCTGCTGTGTGGCGCTTGTGTCTGCTGTGTGGCGCTTGTGTCCCGCAGCTTCCATGCGGCATGAAGGCCCGGTGAGGCGGACAGCCCTGCCGCGCTGGACGTGCGGGCGATGCACTTCAGATGCCATGCTGCACGCACTCTGTCGCTCACGCCTCCTGCGCTCTCCTTCCCCTCGCGTGTGTGGCGTGCCCACTGCACTGCATGCAGGCCCGTGGCGGACAGCCCTGCAGCGCTGGGCGTGCGCGCGCTGTACCGCAAGATGGTGTGCTCTCAGCGCGGGGGCTCGTGCTTCCAGGTGAGGGGGCTCGTGCTTCCAGGTGAGGGGGCTCGTGCTTCCAGGTGAGGGGGCTCGTGCTTCCAGGTGAGGGGGGCGCACGGGAGGTGACGCCGCGACAGGTGTGAGGGGCATGCTCGCATGAGGAGCAGACATGGGGACGGCGCGAAGCACGGCAGGGAAATGCATGTTGCGATGCTGTGATGTTGATGATGCAGAAATGGCGAGGGAGTCTTCGAGAACGCCACGTGCTGCTCGTCGCTCGCAGCATATCACCATATCCCATTGCCTCACCCTCACCGTCCTGCCTCACTCACCTCTCCCGCACGCCAGCTTGCAACACTCCTTCCCGCTTGCACCTACGCCCTCGTCCTGTTCACCCACGCCACACCGCAGGGCCTGTGAGGAGCTGTTAAGGCCGCGCAGAGCACCATGGGCCCCCGTAAGCTGACCCCTATCCAATCACCGTTCCTTCCCACCCCCCCCACCTCCTGTGTGCGTGCATGGGCAGTCCAACGTGCTGTTGGCGTGGGTGCTCCGCCACCACCTCGCCTGCCAGGTCGACCTCCTTCCCGCCCTCTCCTGCCACTCGCCACACTCGCCCCGCCACCACCACTCCCCTCCGTCCTCCTCCTGTCGCTCCTCTCGTCAACCACCTGTACCGGCTGCTACTTTGAATGCTGCCTCCCCTGCAGCGGCGCCATCGTCGGATCATGCGGCTGCCTGCGTGGCTCGCCTCTCATCTCCTGCTGACTCAGCGCAGCAGCCTGTCCAGTCAGCTCGTGCAGCTGCCTCATCAGCAAGTGCAGAGCTGGCAGATCATGTACGACGTGAGTGAGCCATCTCACTCGGTGACTTGGCTCTTCCTATCCCGTACTGTCCTGTACCCACACACCCACCCACCCACCTACACACCCACCCACCCACCCACCCAACCAACAACCCACCCACCTACTCATGTGTTTTCATTCATGCACATGCCCTCTCACCATGCGTTGTCCTACCACCCCCCATTCCTTCCCCCCTCCCGCATGCAGATGTGTCTGCTGGTGCACATCAACGGCATGGCATGGCTCGCTGACGTCAGCACGCCCTGCTGCCCCAGCAGCCTTTTGCCCCACCCCATGTTCCTGGAGCCACTGCTCTTCCAACCCGCCATCCACCAGGCAGGCCCCTCCTTCCCCTCGCCTCCCATCTCCATTCATTACACACGTCCCTCCATTCCTTGCTGTGATGTGATGTGCGATTCCCACTCCCACCCATTCTCTCTCCTCACCCAAGCGTTTCCTCTCCATGCCACCTCTCTATCCCACCACCCCTCCCCCCCCACAGCACCAGGACGCGGGGGTGTACGGCATATCCCCATGCCCAGCCCCACCCGCCAGCACCTGCCGGTGCAGCCCCTTGGGTGCATGGACGAGGTGCGGGGGCTGTCAGTGTGGCGCCTGCATGCACAGCAGACGGCTGGGAGAAGCCAGTTGCAGCAGTAGCAGCAGCGGACAGGGGCAGGGAGGGATGGAGGGCAGTAGAAAGAGGCGTGCAGGCAGTGGAGCACGTAGAGGCAGGAATGGATGGGCGCATGGGTGAGAGGAGTGCTGGCGGGGAGGCACATTCAGATTCAGACCCCGATGATGATGATGACTTCTACACGGAGGGTGTGCGTGGCCACGGGACACCGTGCCCACCGCGGCTCACGCATGCTGCAGGTGGACAGGCAGCATCAGCAGCAGCGGTGAGGGCAGGCGAGCAGTGGTATGTGGTGGAGCGGCTGTGCCGCGTGGGGCCCAGTGAAGCAGGCGAGAGATGGGCAGCAGCAGATGGCAAGCAGGCAGCATGGGGGAAGGCCGCTTGTGAGGAGGAGGGGCAGTGGCAGCCGCTGTATTGCTTCTCCTCGTGGCCGCATGACACAGCTCACTTCCTCCAGGTGCTCCCACCTCGCCCGTCGCCTTCTCGCCTCGTTCCCTCCTGCCTGTGCCATGGAGTCATGCATAAAGCAAGCTTGCCGGGGCACCAGCCCTTGCACAGCTTCATGCGCGCCTCTATACCAGCCCCTGCCACCCGCTGCTTCTAGCCAGCCCTTTCTCCTGCCCCCTCTCTTCCTACTCTGCCCTCCCTCCCACCCGCCGCTCTCTGCAGTGCATGCGCCATGCCTCGCCCCTGGGCGGGCCGCGTGTGGCGGTGCGCGTGTGCAGCGAGGGGGAGAGGGAGGTGGAGGGCAGGGGGGTGATTCGCGAGATGATCCGCGACCGCCACTTGCTGCTGCTGGATGGCGAGGGGCGCGTGCAGGTGAGAGAGGCGGGTGCAGGTGAGAGAGGCGGGTGCAGGTGAGAGAGGCGCGTGCAGGTGAGAGAGGCGCGTGCAGGTGAGAGAGGCACGTGCAGGTGAGAGAGGCGCGTGCAGGTGAGAGAGGCGCGTGCAGGTGAGAGAGGCGCGTGCAGGTGAGCGGGTCGAGTACGTGGGGGGGTTGGTAGTAAGGCAAGTAAGCGGGTAAGGGTGAGGAGGGTGCAAATATATTGCGATAATGAGCTGCTGCTGCAGGTGTTAGAGGGAAGGAGGGCCGAAGGTGGATGCTGCGAGTACGTGTTTCCATGTTGTTCACCTTCCTCGCCATGGAACCACTAGGCCATGTCTCCTCACCTCCTCCCTCCAAAAGCAAATCCTTTTCCTCTCTCGCTCTCTCTCCCATCCCCAACGCCTTTCTCTCATCCACTTCATGCGCGTGCATCCCGTTTCTCCCGTGATCAGAGTCAGCAGCAGCTGGCAACAGACGAGGAGTTCGATGCGGTGGTGAGGGGCCGGTTTGGCATTCGGCTGGGGGCAGATGATGTGAGGGCCATGCCTCCTGTGCCCAGGGAGCCGCCACTTGGCGACGTGTGGTTGGCCAGCGAGTGGTGAAAGTTGCACGATGTTGGACTGCATTGTGATGTGAAAGCCAGGCAGATGTGCTGATGTGATTCCCATTGACCACTCCAGTCCGTTGCTACCAATTGCTGATAATCTTCATTGTGCATTGTAATGTGAGACGAGATGCGCACAGATAGGAGAACGCAGGGAGTGGGATGCAGGAGTGCGTTTGGTGGATGTTGTAAGCAGTCCTCACCTCAAATTATAGAATCCGTCATATAATTTTCCAAACGATGTTATAAAGCTGTTTTTTTTCTCCAGCAATTGCCAAACGTTGTTCTGTACTGCATTACTACTCCGATCCTCGATTTTCGACCCTGAACAATCAGAGTTATGTACTTTTCAACCCTGAGCAATCAGAGTAGCATTATTATGTGAAATGTGCACTGATAATAGAGGGGAAATTTTTTCCCCGGAATCAGGGAGGCCTAATATGAAACGTCAGCCCTGCCTCCACCTCAACTCTCCTATCTTCATCATCTTTCTCATCCCATTATCCACCAATCAAACAAAAGATTCCATACCAAGCCTTCCAATCCAAGCCACATTCATTCCACTCACCAAGCCTTAAAATCAAAGCCAAATACATCTCATTCACCAAGCCTTAACTTCAAGGCCACATTCATTCTCTTCACCAAGCCTTCACTTCAAAGCCACATTCATCATCCCCATCTTATCCAACGCAACCAATCACAACCGTTCATCCTTTCCTCATTCTTCATCCAACATCAAGCTCCACCAAATACAAAAGGGTCCTCTTCATTTCTTCAAACTCATATTCTTCAATGCTACTTCATACCCAAACTCTCAACAAGTTCTTGAAGCTCCCTCAAGACCAACTCAAGTCCTCCTCCTTATGCTCTAGCTCCTAAGGCTTCATCATCACCACCAACCTCTCCCAACCCAAGCTCATAGCCATATGCTCCAATTTTAGAGAAGTTTGTGCCACATAGTTTTACTTCTAGATCATCAAGGATAGTTGATCTAAAGATCCAACCATGTACCTCTTTTTGATTAATGTACTTTCAAGTTTCAAGCAAGGTTGGTGTATTCTTCTACCCGAGGTCCAAGCTCCAACCTGAACATCCAAGCTTGGAGGTTTCTCTTCATTCAACAAACATTATCTACAAGTCAACATTCAAGATCAACTTCTCAACATTCAAGCTTTGAGGTTCTTCATTAACAACTAAGACAACATTTAAGCTTGAAGTGAAGATAAACTTCTACAACATAATAGTAAGAACTCATTTCAAGTAAGTGGTTATCTCTTCCTCTCATTTTTAACCAAGTTTCTTTTACATCAAAGTTCATTTGCTATTATCAATTTGTTTTATATTTAAGCTCTTTCCATAATAATCAAGTTCTTAGGGCGCGTGAGGTCTTTGAAATTTGTAAAAGTTTATGTTCTTAGGGCGAATTTTAGTTTTGAACTTACAACGAAAGAAGTTCGAATTTCCTTCTATCGAAGTTCGAACATCGAGCTTACCAAACTGTAAAAAATCATACACACATACAAGGTCGAACCCCGACGTTCGAACTTGTAAAAACGAGCCGAGCCGCACGTCAACATCATAGGTTACCCGGTTCGCTCGTCTTGACAGTGCGCCACATCAACATTTTGCGCCTCGGTTTACAAGGACCTAGAGCTCCAACTCACCTTCCGCGCCGAGTGTGTAACCAGGGTACAAATAGCCCCCGTGGCAACACCTTGTATACTCGTCATTCGCCCGCGTTGCCACATCATGCTCGAACGTGCCACGATGCTGGACACGTGGCTACCATTGTGTGCATGAATTGTGGGGTGTCTTCGTTGTGCAACTTCATGCACTCGCGAAGCGCTCGCCCGTTTCGGCAGCTGTTCGGACGTGCTGCAAATCACACACGCTCGCATGACCGTGCAAGTACGGCCGTGACCGTGCAGCGACACCAGAACCAGCAGGGACACCCGCACCAGGGTCCGCAGCACCAGCAGCAGCTCCAGCGCCCGGGTCCGCAGCACCAGCAGCAGCTCCAACGCCCGGGTCCGCAGCACCAGCAGCAGCTCCAACACCCGGGTCCTCAGCACCAGCAGCAGCTCCAACACCCGGGTCCGCAGCACCAGCAGCAGCTCCAACACCTGGGTCCTCACCACCAGCAGCAGCTCCAACGCCCGGGTCCGCAGCACCAGCAGCAGCTCCAACACCCGGGTCCTCAGCATCAGCAGCAGCTCCAACACCCGGGTCCTCATCACCAGCAGCAGCGTCCACGGTAGCGGGGTCCGCAACACGAGGCGCGCCACTCCGAAGAGTGCAGCGCCGCTCGTACCACTCACGGATCCGCTCACGGGAGGGGAGCTCCCGACTAGGAGGAGAAGCACTAGCACCAGTCCCAGCACCACGCCCGGCCCCAGCGGCACCTCTCCTGAGGCTGCAGTGCTGTAAGTACCACTCACGCAGCTGCTCCGAGGAGAGGGCTCCTCCAGGTGTAGGACTCCCAGGCTCAGTACCTCCAGACTCAGAACCCCCAGACTCCGGACTCTGCGGCTCAGCACCCCGAAGCTCAGCACCCCCAGGCTCAGCACTCCCAAGCTCAGCACCCTCAAGCTCAGCACCTCCAGGCTCCACACCCCCAAGCTCAGCACCCCCAGGCTCCACACCCCCAGGCTCAGTACCCTCAAGCTCAGCACCCCCAGGCTCAGCACCCCCAGCAGGACGAGAGTCGACAGCTACCTCAACAGGCTCAACTGGGTCTACCTGAGAAACACCTGAGGGATCGGCACCCTGGGGGGGGAGGGGGTCTACAACAGCAGCACCTGGTGCGAGGAAGAGAGGCGGGGGGGGGAGCGGGGCAGTGCGGTAGGGGAAGAGGCGGTAGTAGGGGACGGACTCGTCAAAAGTGACGTCCTGAGAGGGCAAGACTCGGCGCGAGGTGGCGTGGTAAAACTGCCAACCAGACGCGTCCGGGACAAAGCCGAGGAAGACGCAGGGAACAGCACGGGAGGAGAGTTTGTCCGCAGACGTATCGCGGACAAAAGCTCGAGATCCCCAGACCCGGAAACGAGACGCATCGCCAACCTCCCCCGTCCACAGCAGTGTGGGCGAGGTCTCTGGCAAGGAGACACGGGGCCAGAGGTTCAGCTGATGCGCAGGGTACCGGACCGCAAACGGCCACAGAAAGTGGGGGGCAGCCGCATGGATCAAGGAGGTACGGGCGACCTCCATGACCAGGCCAATGCGGCACTCCGCAACCCCATTCTGCTGTGGTGAGGCGGGAAGCGTGAACGACTGCTCAATGCCGTGCTCAACACAGTAGGCTGCCAAGAGGTCGGAGGAGAACTCACCACCTCTGTCAGAGTGCAAGCGCAGGACAGGAAAGTCCGAGTGAAAACGCTCGCTGAGCTGGAGACGGGCTCTCGTGTCGGGTCGCGCGGCTCGGCTGGGTTCGCGCGGCTTGCCTCGGGTCACGCGGCTCGGGTCGCGCGGTTCGGGTCGCGCGGCTCGGTTCGGTCGCGCGGCTCGGTTCGGTCCCGGGCTGTGGCGGTACCAGGCCGCTCGGGGCCTCTAGGAACGGTGGTCGCGGGGCCAACGGGGCTGTTCGGGGCATTAGGGAGGTGAGTGCAGGCCGTTCAGGGCCGTTTAGGGGTCGACGGGGCCGCTAGGACGGTGAGCGCGGGGCGTAACGGGGCCACTAGGGGTCGACGGGGCCGTTTGGGGCCGCTAGGGAGGTAAGCGCGGGGCCGTTCGGGGCCTTTTAGGGGTCGACGGGGCCGCTAGGGAGGTAAGCGCGGGGCCGTTCGGGGCCTTTTAGTGGTCGACGGGGCCGCTAGGGAGGTAGGCGCGGGGCCGTTCGGGGCCGTTTAGGGGTCGACGGGGCCGCTAGGACGGTGAGCGCGGGGCCTAACGGGGCCACTAGGGGCCGACGGGGCCGTTTTGGGGCGCTAGGGAGGTAAGCGCGTGGGCCGTGAGGGGCCTCTAGGGGCGGGCCGTCAGTGCCTTAGGTGGCTGTGAAAAAACCGAGGCGCCCTAGGTAGGTAGGTAGGTAGGCAGGTAGGTGGTGGTGGGCCCTTAACAGTTCGGTCCTAGGAAGGACCTGCTCTATACCAAGTTGGAAGAACTGAAAAGGAATGAATGAACTAAGAGTGAAAACAGTACAAATACCTAACCCTAGAATTGTGTACCCCCTACAGGCTAACCCACTGTAGCCTAAACAAGCACAACAACATATATAATGTTTGACAAAGCAAGCTCAGGGTGGATCACAACGCCACCACACAGTCCGAGCACAAGAGCAAGGCTAGAAGGCCAGTTCACATGCAAGATCATATATAAAGGTAAACAAGCAAGTGCAGGTATAGAAAGATCACAGTACAAGCAAGGTCAAGAAGTGAGAAAGTGAGGCCAAGTAGGCACAAGACCTAGCATCGTACAGAAGCGCTGATGATCACAAGGCGGAAGTGCCTTGGTAAAGATATCAGCAGTGTTGGCCTCAGAGGCCACGTAAGCAAGGCGCAGCTGACCACGCTGCTGCAGCTCACGAGCAAGGAAGTAGCGAAGAGCAATGTGCTTCGTTCTGTGCTCCAATCTGTGCTCCCAACAGAAGGCCAGCATGGCCTTGTTGTTTACGTATAGAACTGGAGGAGAACAAGGCGGCTCTCCTAGGTCAGTCAGCAGGTAGGTGAGCCAGCGTAGCTCCTGTGCAGCCATGGCCTCCGCGTAGATCTCAACCTCACAGCTGGAACTAAGAACAGAAGACGAGCGGGTAGACCGCCACGAAACAGAGCCGGAGCCAAGGCTGAAGGTGTAACCCTCTGATGACCGCTGCAGAGCCTGGTCGTCAGCCCAAGAAGCGTCAGCGTGACCTGTGAGGACCACTCGACGTCGCCCTCCAAGCACTAGCCCCATGCCTGACGTACTGCACACGTAGCGCAACACCCTCTTTGCTGCAGCCATGTGCTCTGGTCGGTGTCTCCCAGGAGCAACATAGCGTGCCAAGATGCTAAGAGGGTATGCAAG